GGAGGGGGAAAGAGAGGTGAGGAAGAAGAAGAGGAAGAAGAGGAAGAGGAAGAAGGGGAGGAGGAGGAGAGGAGGAGGAGGAGGAGGAAGAGGAGGAGGAGGAGAAGGAGAAGAAGAAGAAGCAGAAGCAGAAGCAGAAGCAGAAGCAGAAGCAGAAGCAGAAGCAGAAGAAGATGTTTAGCAGATTCCCAAATGCCAGCCAAAACCAGCCCTTCGAATGGGCTCTTTTGAAGTTACAAACTTCAGAACTGCTCTGTTAACTCTTTCCTGTACAGTGTGTGTATATATTTGCATATTTGAAAATGGCATTCTTTTTCTTCACATCAAGTCTGAAATAAAAAGATCTTTAATATTAAAAATAATAATAATAATCTGCCTAGGAGTTTAATGTCTGAGCTACCATCTCAATCAAGAATGAACATTCACTTTAGCTTTTCTATTCCAAGATAACTTCTGAGCGACATGTTATAAACACATGGTTATGACACGTTCCTTAAAATGTTATAAGGACATTTTGTGGAGACTAGCTAGAAAGATAGAATGGATGGATACAGGCTGGCTGGAGAAGGGGAATTCTGGAATTGAGAGCCAAGAATCAAAAAACAACAGAAAATTATAGAAAAGAAATCCTGTCATTTACTACAACATGGATGAACCCGGAGGACATTGTGCTAAGTGAAATAAGCCAGACACACAAGGACATCCTCATATCACTCATATGAGGATGAAACGTTTATATTTTGACTGAAATGTTGGTCACATGACTATGTGTATTTATCAAAATTAAGCACCAAATGCGTGAATTTTACTGTATATAAATAAGAATGGGAATGGAAAATATTCAACAATATCAAGAATTAAGAACAAAAGCTAATAGATTGGGGAAGATTTTCTCAGAGAATGTCAGGCAAAATACAAATTAGCATAACATTTCATTTTCAAAAATTGTTTAGACACTTTAAAAAAAGAACAATGAATGCATTTTGAATTTTAAAATATATTAAAATATTTAATATCTTATATTTGCATTAAATAATTTTAATATAAATTTAATCATTAATGCTAACTTTAATTTTATTATATTTTAATAGTTAATTTCTTTTTAATTTTTTAAATTTCTTTTTTATAACAGACTAAAGGAATGTACATATGTAAGAAATAGAACACTTTTTTGCTTTAAAAATAGCATTTTATTTAAATATTGTAACAAAGCTTTGAAGATAGTTTATCATTCTATGTTAATTAAACCAATTGACTTACCCAAGCCTATGCATGCTGTACACAGGAGGGCCCAAGGTTAAACACATATTTTTTTAAATGATTCTAAGGTTTTCACTTGAACACTGCCTTATGCCTTCCCTGGGCTTAGTGTCCACATTTAAAAATTTAAAAGTTGACCCAGAAATAAGTTTCAGGCAGTGCAGGCAATTGTGAGAGGATCTGGTTAGCCCTCAGATATGATCAGATATGTCATGAGAACCATGTTCTTTCCTCATGCCCAATGGTCAGAAGTGGAGGAAGCTATGAACCTTCTTGTAAAACAGCTAACAGGAAAGCCCCATGGTGATTGGTGGTGGGCCTCACAACCACATCCTGTGCATCTTCCTGGCCATCTGGGCTCATGTCTCCATCCAGCCGCTTCACATTCGTCTGGCAGAATCTATGCTATGCCTCGTACACTCACTACCCTGTTCTTCCTTGGTGAGTTCCTACATGGAAAAGAGATGGAATTCAGGTGTCGGGGGTGGGGAGCAGCATGTCTCATTATTCTTGTCTTCTAGGTCTGTATCTGAGCCAGAGGGTCAGCTCCCAGATACGTGAGTCCTTCCTTCAAAGCCCAACAGTCACTCTTCTCAGTTCAGACTAAGTATCCACCTGAGAACAAGGGAAGGAGAAGGCAGGGGATCTGGTTTGCTGGAAGGGCTGGAGGCCAGCATGGGTAAAAATTAGGGTGGTGAAGGACTTTGCAACTCCAGCCTCTGATTCTCTTCCAGAGACTCTCTCCAAACCTACCATCTGGGCCAAGCCTAATTTCATGATTCCAAATGGAATGCCGGTGATCATCTGGTGCCAGGGAATGCACAAGGCCACTGAGTACCGACTGTACTTTGAGGGACAGCTTTCTGCCTTGGAGAGACCTAACCCACCTGGAATGATGAACAAAGTCAAGTTCCCCACCCGTACCATGACCTCAAACATGGCAGGGCAATACACGTGCTCCTATCGAAGCGGAGAGCTATGGTCAAAGCCCAGTGACCCTTTGGATCTGGTGATCACAGGTAACCAACTAATCCTCCATCTGCAGAGTCATCCCCTTGGCCTCCCTTTGGTTATCTACTGAGAGTTATCTTTATGTCTTGGGTGTGGATTTGTCCTAGGTCAGTTTCTTCAGGTAAGAGACTCTGAGATAGATGTTTGTGTGCAGGAAGGGAGAACTGGGGAGTGTCCTCAAAAAACAGCACCTGTGCTGGATGAGAAAAACAGGCCGGGCAGGTGAAGTTGGACTGTGATTCTTAGTCTGAATCAGGCCAAGCAAATGTAGAACTCTGGACCTGAGATGGTCCTTTAGTGTAGACATAAAATGAGGCTAGGGGCTCTGTGCTCCGCCCCAGTATCAACCAGTGATTGGATGAGAACCGCTTCTAGAGAGGTTCCAGATAAATACTCTTGCTCTTGTGGCACTTGCATTCTAATAAGAGAAGACAGGCCATAAATCCAAGTCAGGACACATAAATCAATTAGATAGCACATGAGGAGGAGATGATGGCATGGAAAGAAACAGAGTAGAATGGGGTAAAAGTGATTGGGGGGAGGGTAATCTTGGCTCCCCTTTAGCTGAGGGATGTTCTCAAACTTGAGCAAACAAAATCATCAGGAAGACTTATAAAAACACAGATGGCTTTAGGACACCACATTCATGGAGGCACTGCTCAGCATCGCCAAAAGGTAGAAACAACCCAAGTGCCCATCCATAAATGAAGGGACAAACCAAACATGGTCCATCCACACAGCGGGATATTATTCAGCTATAAAAAGGAAAGAAATTCTGACAAGTCTACAATGTGGATGAACCTTGAGGATATTATGGAAAGTGAAATAAGCTAATCACAAAAGGACAAATACTGTATGGTTCCGTGCAAACTTTGTTTGCTCAAGTTTGAGAACATCCCTCAGCTAAAGGGGAGCCAAGATTACCCTCCCCCCAATCACTTTTACCCCATTCTACTCTGTTTCTTTCCATGCCATCATTTCCTCCTCATGTGCTATCTAAAACCATCAAATTCATAAAGATGGGAAGTAGAATGGTGGTTGGCAGGGGCTGAGGAGAGAGGGAATAGGACATTATTGTTTAATGAGGACAGAGTTTCAGTTTTTCAAAATAAAAAGAACCCTGTGAGGGGCAGGAGATCTATTGTTGTGATGGCTGCACAACAATGTGAATGCATTTTAACACCACTGAATGGTACACTTAAAATGGTTAAGATGTGAATTTGATGTTACAGGTATTTTACAATTAAAAACAATAATGTTTTTTTACAACACAGATGGCTGCCCCATCTCTAAGTCCCTCCCTGATGCGGTGGGTCTGGGGTGGAGCCTAAGAATTTGCATTTCTAGCAAGCTTCTAGGTGACGCTAATGTTGCTGGTCCCAAAGACAAAACTCTGAGAACCACTGCTCCATGGCAATTCTCAGATTGAGATTCAAATTAACACCCCTGATAGCTGCAGAAGTGTCTCAGTCTTGAAGGGAGAGATTTTGGAGGGTGCATCCATGACCAAGACAAATCTGGGAATTAGAAGAGGCTGAGATTCTAGAGAGTTGATATCCTGGTCTTAAGAACGAGGGAGATGGGACATATTGGAAGCCGAATAAAGATGCCCTTTGACTACCAGCCACCTTCTCTCACAGGAATGTATGACAAACCCACCCTTTCAGTTCATCCTGGGTCTGAGGTGATATCAGGAGAGAAGGTGACCTTCTATTGTCGCCTAGAGACTGCAACAAGCACGTTCTTTCTGCTCAAGGAGGGGAGATCCAGCCACCCACAGCGCAGATATGGGAACATGCAGGCGGAGTTCTCTATGAACCCTGTGACCGCAGTCCATGGAGGGACATACAGATGTTTTGGTTCTTATAACAACCATGTATGGTCTCTCCCCAGTGAGCCTGTAACACTCCTGGTCACAGGTGAGAAAACCCCCAATTTTCCCCCATGTCCTCTCTGGAACCCCAAGTGAACCCCAACCAGTGATGAGAGACAAATGGGAAGATGTAGAGAGGGTACCACCAATGCCATCACCTACATCCATTTCCTAGAGGCCCAGTTCATTGTTCATGAGAAGGAACACCCACCCAGAGGGATAAGGAGGGGGAGGATAGAGAGAACTGGCAGAAAGGCCAGAGGCAACCCAAAGCCCTTATTTTTTCCTTGTCTCCATTATCAGGAGGTACTGGGAACACCAGCCTCACACCCACAGAGCAGCCATCTTCTTCTGGTGAGTAACTAGTACTTCTAAACTTGGGGCAGGAATCAAAACAATGACACTAAAAAAAAATGGTATTTATTTAAAAATATGTTGAGTGGATAGTGTGTGCCATGACCTATAGTTACATCAGTCACCCAGGCAGATACCCTTGCTCTTGTGGCACTTGTATTCTAGCAGGACAATACAGACCATAAGTCAAAGTCAGGATACATACATCAATTATACAGCCCATGAGGAAGAAATGGTGGTATGGAAACAAATGGAGTTAAGGCTATTGGGAGGCTAGGTAGCAATAGTCAATAAAGTTGCCTGAGTGGGCCTCACAGAGAAGAAGGAAGGAATGGCCACTGCATATGCTCCAAGGCAGGAAGATGGCCAGTGTGATAAAAACAAACAAACAAACAAACAAACACACACACACCAGCAAGGAGGCCAGTGGGACTGGAAATGATGTCAGAGAGGTGGGGATAGGGTGGGGCAGCTCATTTAGGACCTAGAAGAAAATAGTAAGACTGAATTTTACTCTCTAAGAGGAAGAAAAATTGGTATCAATTGACTTAATAAGGAAACTGAGGCTCAGATAGAAGCTATGACTGGCATGAAGACACACACTTATCAGTCTGTGTGTCTGAATTCTTCCTCAGATCCATTTGTCTTTTGACTCCTCCACTCTACCTGCCCAATGAAGCCACTAGGACCTGAAGCATGGGATAGGGACCTTGAAAAGCAACAGAGTGTTGTGGGGTATATCCAAGGGAAGGAGAAGCTGGGATAGAGGAACTAACACCAGCTGTTTTCCTCAATTCTCCACGTTTCTTATCATCTGCAGACTCTTGGGAACCCTACTTAGTAACCACAAAGACGGGATTCCAGGAAGGTGAGCAAGCAGCTGGGGGTGTGGGCTCTAAAGGAAGGTACTTGGAGCATGATCTGGAAATGAGAAGTGGGGTGAGGTAATGTTCATACGTTCTGGTCAGTGATCACTGTTTCTCTGACCCCAGATCTTGCCCTGTGGGATCACACAACCCAGAATCTTCTTCGGATTTGTCTGGCTTTCCTGGTCCTAGTGGCCCTTGTGTGTATCTTGGCTGAAGACTGGCTTTGCAGTAAGAAGACTCAAGAGGAAGCTAACATGGCTTTGAGTTGGGAATGCAGAAGAAGCTTCAGAACAGAAAAACACCTGGAGAAATGACCAAGAGATGCAGTGGCCACAAGTAGAGCTGAAAGCTGATCTTGACCTCGGGCTGTGTGATCTCTATGTTATACTCGTGAAGGAAACAGTCATTGCAGAAAATGAAAGAACAACTGCATGGAGTTTAATGAACCACCCTAGAGGAAGCAAGAGGTGGTGAGGTGGGGGCAGGGGGTGAAAATGCTAAATTTCATCTGCAGGCAGATCCCATTGTCTCTTTTAGGTTCTAAGTATTTTTGTGCCTGCTGGCCACAAACCATCTGTCCCATCCTCCACAGGATTCTGTCTTCACAGCTTTATCCTTGCCTTATTCCTTGTTTCTCTTAGTAGATATCAGCTCTTCCAAGAATGTTTCTCAAATCATCCAGTTTGACTTATAATATCACTTTTACTACTTGAACCCTGCTACTGCATACATATTCATCTTCCTGTCTCTACCATGAACTCACATGAGTTAATTCTATGTCAGCTATAATGGCTGTGCTCACAGCTCCCACTGCTAAGAGAGTTCTCAGGAAATAAATGTTGAATCAACGGATATATAAATGTGGCTGGAGAACAGCTCAGAACTTGAGTATAGTCCTTGATGTGCTGTCTGGGCACCACAAGCCGTTCCTTCTTGAAAATTTCTAGTTAATTAACCCATTAATATAACCATCATATGGGTCCCAGCCCCACTCCAATATTCTGGTCAAATTCATTCTCTAAATCTGAGTTTTCTGTTAAATATCACAGAATAATAATTCCAATCTCAAAGGGATAACAGAAAAACTTGATGAGATAAAAAAATATTAAGCATAAGCTCTGGCATATATGTTACTCAAGGCATGGTAACCATTATAAGTCCCAATATTATTGGAAATTGATAATTTCACCAATTATTACCTCATTGCCAGTGGCCCCAATACTGAATTATTTTTCTGTTCTTCACCTATCAGGTATTCTAAGGTCCAAGAATTTCTAAATTAATATAAAATTATAGTCTTCTTCATCCCAAAATGAGATGGGTTTTTTTGGGGAGTGGGTTCATGACATCCCAAGTTTTTTGTATTTTAACTTATGGCAAGAAACATAGAGTCTCAAGGAAAACATGTGTAAAGTAGAGGTATTTTAGGTCTCAAGATATTGATGCAGGGGCTTGAGTTGGGTAAAGGAGCCTCCTCCGAGGAATGAAGTGTCTTTACCATCCATGGCCCTGCTGTTTTCACCAGTTCAAGTCAAAATCTTCCAAAACTCGTCAACAAGGCAAGGCCAAATTACTTGAATATTGCATTACTCTTTTTTAAATACTGGACATGGTTTGTATTCTAGACAGTAAAATGAAGGATAAGGAGGGAGGAAGGAAGGAAGGAAATGGAAGGACTGGCCAACTGTTTGTTATAAAGATTTTTGGAAACAGCCACACAACACTTCCATTTATTTCTCAATGGCCAGAACTTAGTTGTTAGGGAGGTTGAGAAATGTAGCCTTTATTCCAGGTGACTCTGTGGCAAACTGGTACTTCTCTCACCAGTAAAGTGGGGAATAACATAACAGAGTTGTACTAGGCAACTCCAGCCTCTATCCCAAGAGCCTACTATGTGTCAGGTGCTAGTGAAAGGATAACACACTGAGCAAACATTATCCCTGATGTGGCAGGATTGATTAATTGCCTGGAGTACAGATCTTAAATTAATGAGTAAATAAAATGGAGTAAGTCTTGTGATAGAGGAAATCAGAATGTCATTGAAGCTTCCTCCTGTGCAAGGTTCCATTAAATAGAACTTGAGGAGGGTGTAGAGATGGGGAAAGGGATGATGGAGATAGGTGTCTGCACCAATTCGTGCAAAGGCTGAGATGCAAGACAGAGGGTAGAGAATATTCAGTGTCACTAGAGCTTTGACTGTGAGAGAGTGACTCTGGGGGTGATACCGGGCAAATGCGGAAGACAGATCAAACGTGGCCATAGACTCGCAATAATAAATCTACATTGTATCCTTAAGGTAATGGGAGCTCATTACGTATTTTGATCATGGATGTGATATGGTGAATTGTGTACTGTGTAGAGATCCTTCTGATTTCAATGAGAAGAAGGAATAATGCGAGAGATTTTTAAAAACATGACAAAAAGATAGAGTAAAGAATTGAGAATGACTCACCTATTTCTGGGGTTGACAACCAGGAAGACAAGAGTTCCACTGGTAATCCAGAGGGAGGTCTAGCTATGGGCAATGGGTACATAATCTTAAGATTTGGTAATATATATTCTCCAGTTTTGTTCTCATTTTTCAAGATTTCCTTGATTATTTTGGGTGCCTTAGATTTCAATGTTAATTTTAGAATGTCAGTTTTCCCAAGTACCAACTAAAGCTGCAAATAAGAATGTACTGAAGGTACTCAAGCTACAGATCAATTTCGGGAAAACCATTATCTCTTCAATGTTTCAATTTGTAGAATATTTGGTCCGTAGATGTGCTATGTTTCACCACTTAATTACATGTTCACTAATTTCTCTAAATAATAGTCTATGCAGAGAATGTACACATCTTTTGTTAAATATCCATAAGATATATCCATTAGTTACATCACCTCCGGATACATCCATAGTCACATAATTTTTACTTTGTAAGGGGTATTATTCTTTAAATAATGACATTGCTATTGTTGCTGGTATTATAAAAATAAAATTGACCTTTTTTATATAGACTGTGTATTCAGTGGTCTTGCAAAGTTCACTTCTTAATTTTAACAGTTTTAGGTTATTTAGGTTATCAAAAATTTTTAGAATTTTTTTCTAAAATTTTTTTTTCCAATTTTATTACTTGGAACCTCCAGGACATTAATAAATAAGAATGATGGCAGCAGGTATCTTTTTCTTAGTATCAATATTATGGGGAACATTTTTCATATTGTACCACTGAATAAACTAATTGTGATAATTTTTTGTAAAGACGCATTTTCCCAGTTAGAAAATCTCCTTGTGTTCTTCTTTTGCTAAATTAATTTTTTTGAAGATATGAAATAAACATATTCAGTGAGACCAATGAAGAGGTTCCCACATTATTCTCGGTGAAAGTTGATAACTACTCAGAAAGGTAGATACCCTTAACATATTTTAGGCACAGAAGCCAGACTTCATTTTGTTGTTTAGAAATGATGGCTGAGGGGTGGCTCCATAGTGTAGTGGTTAGCACGTCTGCTTTACACGCCGAAGGTCCTGGGTTCGCACCACAGGTGGAGCCACAGACCATAACCCGGGTGTGCCAGGCCCCAGGTTCAACAGGCCCCAGGTTCGCACTGCAAGTGCGTGGGAGGGGACGCCTCGCCTTCAGAGATCCAGTTCTTAAAGGGAGACAGCAACATTCGTAGGTCAGGGGTGGAAGTAGGGGCAAAATTAAAGAGGAGGAAAAAAAGAAATGGTGGCTGAGTAAGTGGTAGGGTCAACAGCAACTCTGAAGTTTGTAAATTTGGCAAGTGAATGGATGAAGGGGATATTTTTCTCCTCACCCCCACCCACTGGTGTTGATAAGTCAATGAACCATGAGGTGTAAAAAGAAGGTATTTGGGGCAGAGTCAGAGACACAAGTTAGTGGTTCATCTTCCCAAATTGAAAAGTAGGTTTTTTAGTTGAAATATAATTGACATATAACATTGTATAAGTTCAAGGTGTACAACGTGTTGATTTGATACATTTATGTATTGCAGTATGACTGTTACCATAGTATTAGCTAACATCCCTACTGTGTTACATAATTATTTCTTTTTTTGTATGTGTGGTGGGAATAACTAAGTTCTAGTCTCTTAGCAATAATACAGTATTGTTGTCTATTATTGCTGTACTGCATATTAGAGCTCCAGGACTTATTTATCTACTAGTTGCTAGTTTGCCCCCTTAACAATATTTCCCCATTTCCCCCACCCTTCTGCCCCTGGTAACCACCATCTACTCTCTGTTTCTTCAAGTTCAGCTTTGTTAGATTTCACACATATAAGTGAGAACACACAGCATGTGTTTTTCTCTGATGACTTATCTCACTTAGCATAATGCCCTCAAGGTCCATCCATGTCACAAATGGCAAGATTTTCTTTCTTAAGGCTGAATAATACTCAATTGTGTGGAGATTATATAGGTGATAGATGATAGATGATGGATGATAGATAGATAGATAGATAGATAGATAGATAGATAGATAGATAGATAGATAGATAGATGATAGATGATAGATAGATGGAGATGGAGAGAGAGACCGAGACAGAAAGAGAGACAGAGAGACAGATTTTTTTTTTTAAGCACACACATCTCATCACTCTACACCACAGCACTAGTATAGCCCGTCTCCCTTTCTTAAGGTGCTTACATGCTGGGCCATCTGTTTCTACAGGCTGATACTACAGTATCTTGGTCTCATGAATATTAGGAAAGGTCAAGTTTGAAGGATAAGAATGGCCTTCAAATCCCTCCTTAACTCAGCCCAACCTCTCCCCACTCTGCAATATTCCTAGGTTCTTACCTATTCCCAATCACAACAATAAGGCTGGATCTCTAGTCTGTCTTCTGATCTTTCTCATCCCATTTCATACAACAAATCTATTGAAGAATCAAGAGGAAGGGGAGAGAGGGCCAGATTTGATCTCTGTTAAAACCTGTGTTCCTAAGGCAAGATATGCTCCCTCTATTTCCAACTTCATTTGCCAAAAGCAAGGAACAGCTGGTCCTTAGCAATGTTATGAGGACGTGATGTAATCCTAGGGATTTATCAATGCCCCACAGTTATTACCCCACCACCAGCACCACCACCACCACCACCACCAGTGGGAACAGAGTTTTCCAACCCTGAGTTAGAAACGGGAGCTAATCTTCAGAACACGGAGACAATTATTTGGAATAATGTCCATCATTTTCTACTCCTACTGGTGCATGGATCTGGAGACCAGTTTCCCTGAGATACCACCCACCCCGTTGGTCTTTGCTTTGCTCCCTCATGTCACTCCTCAACCACTGGAAACTGGTTTCTCACCCCATGCTTCCTCTGAAGCTGTTTTTATAACAAATACTAATGAGTTTCCTGGAACTTGCAGTGGATACCTCTCAGCCCTTTTATTTTTATTTCTCTGTCAGTTGTCTATGACCACTTCCTCTTTGATGTTGTCATCTCACTGGCTTTCTGTACTAATTTCTGGCTGTTCCTGCACCATCAGGTTTTCAGGTTCTCCAATGACAGAGTTTTAGGGTTCAATGGTAGACCCACATTTCTCCAACACATTTCTGGGTTGATCTCATTTAAGTTCATGCTTTCAATTTCTCCAAGGTAAATGCCCAAATCTAATTCTCTGAACCTTAATATTTGGGGGTACAGCAAATTTCAGATCATTTTATCAGCTTTTTCCAACCAACCTGAACTCATCATCTTTCAATCTCCAAAGTTGTTGTTCTAACTTGGAAAAAAAGCCACCCTGTTCACAGTCACTTTGCTTTCTTCTCTGTACCTATACTTGTGCTTCTGATCACTGCTAGAAAAATATGTCACACAAATCAGCAGGTAATAATACAGTTTATCATTTATAGATTTGTGGGTAGAGGTTTATATTTTTATTATTTCTCCCAACAAATGTCCTTATGTCAATTTGTCTTTTGAAATTCTGATCAGGTAAAGATTTTATATATAAACATTTTAAAAGGGTTATTTGTCTTCTAAAAATTACGGGAGTGTGTAATATAATACAATATAACATAATTTATTCATTTGTATTTATGTCACAATGTTTTCTCTGACACA